CATATATGCTGCTTCCTCTGCAATTGATTTCTTGCTGTTAAAATTTTATAAGTTTTGGACTGATTTGCTTTTCTACAAAAGTCTAGGAGTAAGATTGCAATTTTTTTTCTCTTCCTTTTTGTTTTATTTAAATGGAAGGGTATATAGGTCATTTTAGGTTAAAAATTGGTGAAAAGGACATTCAGCGCAAAGAATGTGAAAGGTAGGGACGTTCTGCACTAAAAAATGAAAGGTAAGGACGTTTTCCACAAAGACATGCAAAGGTAGGGACGTTTTGCGCCAATTACCCCACAAAAAATGTAAAAGGTAGGGACGTTCTGCTCCAAAAAACAAAAGGTAGGGACGTTTTCCACAAAACCCGTCATAGGTAGGGATGTTTTGCGCCAATTACCCTTACTTTACCGACCTATAATTTTATCAAAGCAAGATGAGTGTCACAATATGTTGAAGTAGGATTTTGTTGCCATCTCTTTTAATTGTGGATTGTCACGTTCGGCGATATATGAATTTTTTCTTTGTCTTCCAGCCGAACTTGAGATGCGAACATGCGGGATATATTGTCAGTTTCAGAGTGGCTAACGTCACTCGATTCGCCGCTTGATTCTCCAATGTCGCACATTCCCAAAATCCACATGTGACTGCAACATTTGAAAAATTTTCCTTTGTTTGCATTATCCCTTTCAACCTCTAAACACTTTTTAAAACCGTTCTTACACCCCGGGCATCGGTGTTTTGTCGGGTATTTGGCAAAACAATGGCCCTTACGCCTGCAAATGTGGCAAACTCTCGAATTCTTTACGCACATTCTAAAAATGGAATCTAACAAAAAAAAACATCAAGTTAACTGAAATTTCGAAATTATGTTGATTCAATCGAAATAAATCCGAGCCGAATTGGTATCGGCAAATTGCAAAGCTTCATGTCACAAATTCTATAGCCCAACAAAATAAGAAATCAGTTCCCTTCCTAATTTGTGAAAATGAAAACTATAACAAATGACAAAGATTTCAAGTATACCAACAACGGGTGACTTTCAAAAAATCCAAAAATTGCATACCTTACACGAGGCGGCGACGAGTTCGACTACTGTGAACCCAAGGCCGGGTGTGTGGAGCCGGTCGAAAGAGAGGAGGGTAGGTTTTTGATTTTGGGAAAAATGGAGGAGAATTGACCGAAAATTTACTTCCCAAGGTTTGTATTTTGAACATCCAAAAACAGTGGTAGCTTACA